CGGAGGCCGGAGCGCGGCGGGGACGGGGCGACGGGCTGCGGGGACCGAGGACCTCGGGGCCACCCGCATTAGCGTCCGAGCACACCAGGGCCGGGGGCTGTGGAAGAACCTGGGTGGGGACAGAGGCTCAGCCACTCCGAGCGTCTCCCCTGCCCTCGTCACCTGTCCGCCTTGGGACAGGTTCTCCTTTCCTGCTTCTGTCCCCAGGGACAGCCCTCTATGTGTGACCTCAAGCACATGAACGCCCTTCTGGGTACAACTCTCCGATTTAGTCAAGGCAAGCGACTGATGCTTGGCGTCCCTCCCTCGTGGTGAGAGGGTGCTTAGTGGCTTTAGAGCCTGCAGGCCCTGTCTGAGATCCAGCCACGAAAAGAGCTGAAAGAAGCTGGCTATCTACGCCCAACCACATTGGCAGGTCTATCATGGTTGTGCCAAAACTGAACTGAACAGAACCGACTCCCCCACATCCTCAGGCCTCTAAACAGGCTCTGTTTAAGGCGCGTGCTTTAACCAGGAAAGACCTTTAGCACAGGAAAGCTTCCTTTGCCGATAGAGGAACAGGGGCGCCACAAGCTGCCTTTGCCCCAGCGAAAGGAGGAGGTCCTGTCAAACAGTTTGGTGTAGTTGGTCACCTAAGTGGTTTTATGTCAAAACACCACCACCCTGTGCGAGCCTTTTTTTTTTTTTCCAGTATTGGGGATTGAAGCCAGGGCTTTATGCATCATAATCACTGAACTATACAGTCCCAGTTCTTCTGTGTTTGCTGGTTGGTTTTTAAATTTTTAGTACATTTATTTACTTAGTATATATGTGAGGTCACAAACGCCATGACACCTAGGTGTAGGGCTATCATATGGATGCGGGGTTTGAACTCGGGTAGTCATTTCAATGGCTGTAAGCACTTGCACCTACTTTCGCTATCTCATCAGCCTTATTTATGTTAAGCAGAGTCTCAGCTCAGGCTGACTCTTGTCACCTCCTGTTTCTCAAGTGCTGGGATTGTATGACAAGTGTGGGATAACATGGCCCACTGGAAAGTTTGTCAACGGTTAATTTTCCCATGCCGATTCCCCCTTTCGTTCAAGTTGGTGGCCACCTTGGGATACAAAGCAAGACCTTCTTGACTGCCTCGTCCCAAATGAACACACGACTTCCTTTAAGGAAACCCGAGCCATTCCAAACTACACCCAGACCTTGTTGCATAATAAACACGACGCTGATCGTCCACTAGTGCCTGGTGATACTGACTGAGGTCGGTGTCAGGGTAGGAGGTGTCCCCAGAGAAGGAGACTGCATTTTGGTTGATGTTCCTTTATCACAAAATATTGAGGAAAAATAATTTTATGAATAGCTGAGGCAAATAAATAAATGTGCTTTTGCCATTATTGCACCGATTACTCTGTGGCCTGTTTTCGCGTCTGTAAAACGGAGAGGTGACTTCCACTGCTCAGGCGTGCTGAGGGTCCGCTGTGGCGACATCTGAATGTGCTTTGTAAAGCAGACAACTGAAAGCACGGGGCAAACAGCGGGTGTCTGTTGCTTCCCTTTTACCCCAGAAAGCCCGAGATGCCAGAGGAGTTGGTAGAATGCTCCAAACTGTGAGCACTCCACTCTTCGGACCCAGAGAAGACAAAAGGGCTCTGGTACCGCGACAGTAGAGCTGCTATTTATCTCTTTCACTGGAGAGCCCACCAAAAACATTGGGACTTATCTGCACCACTCTCTGGTTCCAAGGTAACACACAAATAGGCTGAATAATTCACCTGGAACAGTCTCGTGGCATCAGTACTAAGTGGAATCCAGGACTTCCCTCTGGCCCACAACAGCATGAACCACAACATCTGTCTCCTAGTAAGAATGCAGCCTGAAAACTTCAAGAAAATACGTCACAAGTTTTAGAAGGTTTGCTCATATTTTTTTTTTAAGTAATAAATGAACAAGGGTTGGGGAGGTAGCTGAGGGGCAGCTCAGCTGGTAAAGATGCGTGCTGCCAAGCTTGGTGACTGAGTTTGATCCCTGCAACCCACATGGTAGAAAGAGTAAACCAATTCTTTTTATATTTTTATTTTTTCAAGACAGAGTTTTTCTTTGTAGCAGCTCTGGCTGTTCTGGAACTACTCGCTTTGTCAATCAGGCTGGCATCGAACTCATGCCTGACTCCGCCTCTGGAGGGTTGGGATTAAAGGAGTATGCCACCATGCCCGGAGAGAAAAACCAATCCCTAAAAGTTGTCCACATAGCCAGGGGGTGGTGATGCACACCTTTAATCCCAGCACTCAGGAGGCAAAGACAGGAGGATCTCTGTGAGTTCAAGGCCAGTCTGGTCTACAAGAGCTAGTTCCAGGACAGGCACCAAAAGCTACAGAGAACCCCTGCCTTGAAAACAAAAGCAAAAACAAAACAAAACAAAACAAAAAGTTATCCACATAGCCCCACATGTACATCATGACCTACATACATGCACAATTACACACTAAGTTTTTCTTGAAGCTCAGTTGGGAGGTAGAGGCATGGACAGCAGGAGTTTAAGATTCTCCTAAACTGCATAGCAAATCTGAG